TGCTTTTGATAGCACCGGGTATATTAACTCATCTGTTAATTTTTGACACATCATTGATTTATTTATTTAGAAAAATTGCATCCTGTTTTGCTGTGTTGACGTTTGCCATTATGAAAAAAAAATGGATGGCATTTTTTTTTTTAAAGACATCCTTCACTGATTTAAGACAAGGGTGCTGTTTTCCAAGACACTTTAATTTCCTAACTTCTGTCTCCTGTACCATACCATGTAGTCCTCTTAAGAAGAAGTTAATGTTTTAAGGGAATCCTCTATTCTGAACTAGTTGGGAGTCCTTTGGTAGATGTAATGTGTGGATACATAATAGGTCTCTAAAAATTTTCTGCTCCTGCATCTTTAATATTAACATATTTTACCCTTGGCTGAGCTAAAATCAAAAGGTTGCCACTAATCTTCAGTTCTGTGATCTCCCTCCCAGAGACACAATTCTCTTGAGGGGTCGGCTATGATGGACACATTCTGTGCGCAGCTTTCCCTATGAAGAAGGCCGTCAAAGTAGAGAGAAGGGGCGATGTTTTATTGCCTGCTTCCCATCCTGCCTCCTAGCCGCCTCTCAGATTTAGGCTGGATCCAGATCACACCAGTGCAGAAGAATTTCAAGAAATGAAAGTCTTAATTAAAAAAATAATAATAATAATAACCATGAGTTTAGACTTCAGAATCAGGGTGGGCACAATATACAACGCAGTGTTCTCTCTCAGTGGGCATACAGTAAAGCATACTAAATTAGTGGTCATTCAGAGGGCTCTGGAACTGTGATTTATAAACATTGTGGGGAAGTTATAGATGTTTTTAAAGTCCCTTTGTCCACTCTTGATTTTGTTTTTCTCTGCTATCCCCTGAGTGTGGGGCACTCAATGACAAGAGACTTAAAAAAAAAAAAAAAAAAAGTTAACAAAATCCATGTTTATGCTTTGCTCACTTAAGACAGTATTCATAGGAAACAGAACTTTTCTCCGTTTCTTAGCGGTAAGGGCCTTGCACAGTTCCTACATTTCTGACTTAGTCTGCCCAGAAAGCTAAAGTATTGCTGATCGTGGTACACATCGTGCCCGCCCCCCTGGGCAGTGGTGATATTTTTATCACACTCTTTTGTATGATGGTGTTAAAATAATACTGCCCGGATATTTCAAGGTTTTGAAAAGAGGGAAAATTCAACCTTAAAGGTTTACAATTGCCGTTTTTCTATGGATCAGTTCTGAGAGCAAATTCAGAATGATGCCTTTTCAGATCTGCAGGCAAGAACTATTTGGTGACCGTCGCTCGCTATCCTCTGGTTTTCTGAGTGCACTTTAATAGATTATCTTCATAATGTAGTATATTACATAATGATTTTTTCTCAGCATGTTATGAGTTTATCCTTCAATTAAGAAAACAAATCACGCTTGTCCCTAAGTCAGAGTTTTTTTTCCCCTTAAAATCTATGCTGTAATGCGATTCATCAATATGATTAAAACTACTCAGTGTTTTGTAGGACACTGAACAAATGTATTTAAGCAGCTCTTTCTAGACAGTTCTATTTAAGCCTTTCCCTTTGTATTGTCCCTTTGTCAAGGTTATGTTAAAGGTGTATGGGCTGTAAATCAGTTGGGACTGCGCTGATTAAAATGCAAACCGTAAATACAACTTAAAGGTCTTGTGTGGGATTATAGGATTAAATGATGAAAACTGTTCTTGTGCTAGAATTGAGCCTTCCCGATCAATACCACCCTTTGATTTTACTAATAAAAGAACAAAAACGCGGAAGTAAAATAAGGAGAGTGGAACACCTCTCCACCTGTGTGGGTCTGGTGGCTTCCTAGTTTGGTTTAGGTCAGTGAAGAAATGGCACCCGAGGATCAGTAGGACGGAGGACATAGGTACAGACCAGGACTCTGCACCTCCTCAGTGACAGGTTTGTGTCAGGGTTTTGAGGTGCCCCGTGGTGTGTGCCAACTCTCCTTTTATCTTCACCGAGACGGTCCCCACTTCGGAGCTCTGGCTCCATGGTGTGTATTTGACTGGAGAACTCAGGTGAAGGGGCCAGCACAGGCCTTCTGAGAGGTTTGGGGAAGGATTCCTAGGTCTTGACCTTGTCACAGGAGAATCTGAGGAAGGGTAGGGTAGTGCTGCTCTCCGGAACAGGAAGTAGACTGGAGAGATGGTTCAGTGGGTTGGAAGTGTAAGGACCTCGGTTTACATCTCTAGAACCCAGGTGAAGCCAGATGCTGTAGCACGTCCCTGTAATCCAGCACCCCTGTCATCCAGCACCCCTGTAATCCAGCACCCCTGTAGTCCAGCACCCCTGTATAGAAGATAGGAGATGGCAGCAGGAGACTCTCTGGGTGCTCTTGGGCAGTGCTCAAACAAGGTAGAGGTGCTGACACCTGAGATTGTCCTCTGACCTTTACATGTGATGTGGCACGCACCTCAACACAGGTGTTGTTGTTGTTGTTGTTTATAAGAGAAAGTTAAGGGAGTATACCAAGAAGAAAGCAGTCTGGGATTTCAGTCTCTCAAAGGTGGTGGTGGTGGTGGTCTTGTGCCCACTTCCAGCCCCAATCAAGTAAACCTGAAAACACCATAAAAAGGAAAGGTTCTGTATTTATCGGCCTCCCAAACCACCGTGGAGCGGGGCAGGTGGGAGGCCAGAGAGAAGTCACCGTTGGGTGTCTTCCTCAGTTGTCCCATCCTGTTTGTTAGGTCTGAGAACTCAGGTATAGATAATGAAATAGGACCGCATCTCCGCCCCCCCCCCTCCCAGCTCCTCCTCCCCGTGTCCTGACCCACATGAGCATGTCCCCTCTTAGTGTCTTCTCTTTTGTAATAACCCACTAAGTCCGGTTAGCGCTGTCCACGGGAGCGTGGGGATGTGGCAGTTCACTGCAGATTGGCCAGTGTGCTAGTGTACACGTACACACACACACACACACACACACACACCCAGAATTACACTCCATCAGCTATCAACTCCCAGTAGCTCCTCAGTTAAGGCTGGGGCTTTCTGAGTCAGGAAGTTCTTGTACAGACAGGTGCTTGAATGGGAACTCAGGTCCTCCTGCGTCTGCAGCAAGCTGCTCCCTCACGAGCTGTCTCCCCAGCCTTTGCCTTGTTTGTAGACAAGGTCTCACTGATTAGACATGAGGCTAGGCTGGCTGGCAGGCAGGCCAGGGAGCCCCAGGGCAACCGTTCTGTCTTTGTCTCCTAGTGCTGGGATTACAAGCAGAAACCCCCACATCCATCTTTTTATGTGGATGCTGGAGATAGAGCTGGGACCCTTGTGTATGCCACTTTACCGATTGATCTGTCATCAGTGGTATGTATCGATCCACTCTTGAGTAGGTATATCTGAAGCACCGTAATAACCCGACTCTCCCAGCCCAGTATAGTCTATCCTGTCCTGGAGAGAAGAGTTTGATTCAGGACTCCCCAGAATGGGAGCATTGTACAGACTTGGGGGGTGGATACTTCCTGTGCGTTGGGGGCACTGCTGGAATTTTTTTTTTTTTTTAGTGTCTTCCAGTTAAGTAATTGAAACAGGACATTTGGACTACCCTTCCCTAATACCTACTCACTTCATGAAAATGTGCTAAGAAAAATGGTAGAACATTGACTATTGGACAGATGTCTCAGTGTCTGTTGTCCATGTCCCACGTCATCCCCTGCCTCTTCCCACCACCCCATTTTTCCTGAGAAGGGGCCTCACTGTGCTGCCTAGGCTGATCCCCAATTCCTAGGTTTAGATGAGCCTCCTGTTTGGTCCAGAGGAGCTGGGGCAATGCCTCTGTCCACGGCTAACACAGACTGCTAGAGCTGTGTTTTCATTCTCCATACATGCTGAGTTTTCTTGGGGGGTTTTACTGCATCTGTTTTCTCAACCTCAAAGAAGACCTAAGCATCTCACTATTTTTCATTTAAAAGAACCAGCCAGGCGGTTGGTGGCACATGCCTTTAACTGGGGAGGCAGAGCCAGGCGGATCTCTGTGAGTTCAAAGCCAGCCTGGTCTACAGAGTGAGATCTAGGACAGGCTCCAAAACTACACAGAGAAACCCTGTCTAGAAATCTTTTTTTTTTTTCTTTCCCAGGGCAAGTAAAACAAAAATGCCTAACCAGTATTTTCAGAGAAAGCTAGCTACATATTTATGACAAATAAGAGTTTCTGGCCCCTGAGTTCTCCAATATTTTGTTTGTTACCATTATTCTGAGTAAGGAGAAGAAATCCGCTGAACATGGCCTGAAAAGTGTCACTCTGTACTAGGGAGATGTGTCTACATGGTAACGAACAGGAAGAGTCCCCTGTTTCGATCACATTTCAGATGCATTGGACAACGTTAAATAGTGCTTTCGGGATCTGGGAGAGGCTTTTCCCTTGTCTCTGTAGCAAGTTGGTTGATTTCTCTTCACTTTTTACTTTCCACTGCTTGACAGTGTGCTTAGAATTCAGGTCTGTGGGCCTTGTGGCACCGCACTTTTTACCCCTTTGGAGAGACGCGACAGGCCAGTAAATGGCTCTGAGAGGAGAGACAGCCCATTTTCAGATGGTGCTGGCCACATCACAAATCTACACACTGACACGAGTTCCAGATTAGGAAGGCCATTGAGTGGAGGTGTTGGGTGACCGTTTTTGCTTCGCGCTCATCCTCTGGCCTATAGAGCCCTCTGGGTTACCTCAGATTTCTGGTGAGGCCTTCACAAGGACTAATCTCTGTTCTCCAGTTTGCGTCTGTGAGCTTCGTGGTCGTGGCAGGGATTGTATCAGCTGATGAATAGCAAGGGCAAGAGGGCACTCCAAAAATAGCAGTAATGATTGCGGCGTGGCCTCCTATCAATGAGGGATTGGGTCTGCGGTGGCCCGCTCGATTCATTAGAGTAAGGATATTAATGAAGCCAAAGGTGTGAGTTCAGACCCGGGCAGGTCAGAGAGGGCCCTCTCCGCATGGTTCCCAGCCTTTTCTCACAATTAGGGGTTGGGGTGGCTCAGGCACCCACTGGTCTCGGAACAATGCGGGGCTGTGTGTCCCTCCTGTGGTGGGTTCACTGGGCCTTTTGTGTTGGGAGGTTAAGCTGGACCTGGAGGGCCTTGCTTCTTCGGTGCCTGGCTGCTGGTCACTCATGTCTCTCTCCTTCCCTTCCAGAAAGCCGCATGATCTTGGATGCCTTTGCCCAGCAGTGCAGCCGTGTTCTTAGTCTCTTAAATTGTGGAGGAAAGCTTCTGGACTCCAACCATTCTCAATCCATGATTTCTTGCGTCAAGCAGGAAGGCCCTAGTTATAACGAAAGACAGGACCAGTGTCACATTGCAAAAGGGATCCAGAGTCAGACCTCTGACAACATAGACATAGAGATGCAATATATGCAAAGAAAACAACAAACTTCTGCCTTTTTGAGAGTGTTCACTGACTCACTCCAGAATTATCTGCTCTCGGGGAGCTTCCCAACTCCCAACACCTCATCAGTCAGTGAGTATGGGCACCTGGCTGATGTGGACCCTCTCTCAACCTCCCCGGTGCATACATTAGGTGGCTGGACCTCCCCAGCAACGTCTGAGTCCCATGGTCACCCATCCTCCTCCACGCTGCCAGAGGAGGAGGAAGAGGAGGAAGAGGAAGGCTACTGTCCTCGATGCCAGGAGCTGGAGCAGGAAGTTATCTCGTTACAACAAGAAAACGAAGAGCTCCGACGGAAGTTAGAGAGCATCCCAGGTACGCAGCCACACTTTGAGCAGACAACAGCAGCTCGAATCCATAGTTGTCTTGACGGCCTCTGTGTGTACATGTGTGTGCGGCTTTAGTGATATGGGGGTAGGACCAGGGTGTATAAGATGTCCTTGGCTTGCCCGGTCCAGGCAGAAATTCCAGGACAAGCACTAACCTGTCTTGTCTGTGTTAAGTTACGTCTTTTGGGTTAAGCCCCGAAGCCCATAGTCCTGAAAGATGTCTCCTTCGGTATGTAAGTGATTCCTGGATGCGATGCCTTGACACTGATGTGCATCAGCTGTTAGAAATCTGAGAGCCCTTTAAAGTGGTCTGTACTTACCACGGCCTTTGTGTCCCCTGGGACAGATGTGAACAAAACCGCCCTTACCTTAGCGGGATTCGGGACTGAATTTCTTCATGGTCTTCTCTGTCCAGCCCTTTCCCTGGCCCCCTGCTTCAGTGTCCAGCCCCCTTCCCACAAAGTTCATTTAGAAATTGTAAACTAGTAGGTCAAAGATAAACCATTAATTAAACTGTTTGTGACCCTGACGTGAAGCAGTCCCTGCCTCTTAGACACCTTCCATTTTCTCTTTTCTTTTCTTTCTTTTTCTTTTCTTTTTTTTTTTTCTGAGACAGGGTTTCTCTGTGTAGTTTTGCACCTTTCCTGGAACTTGCTTTGTAGACCAGGCTGGCCTCGAACTCACAGAGATCCGCCTGCCTCTGCCTCCCAAGTGCTGGGATTAAAGGCATGCGCCACCACCGCCGCCGCCGCCCAGCTAACACCTTCCATTTTCATAGTGTTAGGGTTGGAGTTTTCTTAGGACAAGACCTGAGTTTTTGTTGTTAGTGCTTTTTCTTCTGCTGTTAAGAAAAGTACACATGGGCTGGAGAGATGGCTCAGCACTTAAGAGCACTGGCTGCTCTTCCAGACGACCAGGGTTCAGTTCCTAGTACCCATATGGCAGCTCACACCTATCTATAACTCCAGTTCCAGGGGATCTGACACCCTCACACAGATATGCAGGCAGGCAAAACACCAGTGCAATAACTCCATCATTTAAAAATTGTTCTGAAAAAGAAAAGCACTAATTGCACTTGCATCTTCGACTTCATCCCTGTCGGGGGGAGACTTAGATTGACACCCAGATTGTCAGCTACATCAAGATCTCTGCGCTGTTTTAATCACTGACCCCTCCAAGATGATAGAGGCAAGGCCACATCCCCACAGTCTTCACGCTTATGGTTAACTGTATACTCAGACAGCTATACTCATATGTTCAAAATGCAAAATACATGTAAACTGCTTATGTCTTCTGTTAAAGCCTGGCTTTTTGTATGTGTGTGTGTGTGTGTGTGTGTGTGTGTGTGTGTGCGCGCGCGCCATGTTACTGGTAGCTCGTGTAGAAAGAGAGAAATGCTGAAGAAAGCTCCCATCAGTTTATTAGGACACATAGGACAGAAAACCAGAAACAAATGTTAGGGTTTGCCCAGCCAGTACCAGCAGTACCAGAACTTGGGAGGTGGAGCCAGAGGATCAGGAGTTCAGGGTCATCCTTGGCTATGGGAATTTGAGGCCAGCATGAGCTACATGAAAATCTGTCTGGAAAATGAACACATACACATATGCATAGAGAGAGCCAAGTTAAAAATTAAAGATCCTTTCCCTGTTTCATTAAAGGACTTCTCCCAATGGAGCAGAGGTTGGGCTCAGAACCTTGTGGGATCTGACTGTGTATTTGTCTTGGAAGGAGAGGCAAGGGGAGTCAATCTGCCTGATCTTCCCAACCAGCTGTCGTGCCTTCAGGAGACCCCAGAAGAACCTAGGAAGCTGTGTGAAGCCACACTCACTTGGATCCCCGGGTCAGGGACAGGGGTCACAGCTAGCTCACTGTGATTTTACATGCTGCCAGCCCCGCAGATATGGTCCACTCACTAGAAGTTTACCTCCAGCATTTATCTCATTCCCATCCCTCTTCAGGGCAGAGAGAAAAGCATGTCGTAGGTAGAGATGGGCCTCTGCAGAGGTTGGCATCAGCCGATCAGAACCATAGCTAAGCCTCCTGGGTTACACGTTCCGGAGTGTAGGAAGAGGTGACGTCAATGTCCAGAATGTTAGTCATTTCTAGTCATAAATATGTGGACAAGTTCTTGACATATCATAAATTTGGGGTTCATCCAGGTCAGGTGCTGGTGGCCTGCTAGTCACTGAACTTCCCAGAAAGGTGAAAATGCTACAATTTCTTGAGCATTTTTGATGATCAGATACCAACTGACGCTGGCTGAGGTAGTCTAATGGTCACTAGAGTTACTGTGGTTACCCCAGGCTTGTTAAGGAATTTTCCATGAACTTCGAACCAACAGCCATTTCACACAGAACTGTGATTACATGAGATATGTATGGAGAGCTGGGCATGGTGGTACATCACTGAGGCAGAAGCCAGAGGGTCAGTGTTCAGGGCCATCTTCAAGTACATAGCAAGTTTGAGGCTGTCCTGGGCTATGTGAGACCCTGTCATTGTTACGTCTGTGGAAACCCAGCAATACACATGAAGGTATGAATTATGTACAGATAAATGAAGACCATCAAGCTGATTGGTGATGACCTGTCGAATGTGGTCACTATCAAGAGAAAGAGATTGAAAGTGTCACCTAAAGATAGAAGCTTGACCAAAGGGCAAGGGTGGCACCGCCCTCTTGCCTTCCTCCCAGCCTCCGTTGGGTGAGCAACAAGTTGGGGATCATTCAAGAACCCATTCTTGACTCTTAGTGACAGCCGTTTTAGGAAAACTCACTTCCTGACACCCACTTGAAGACAAGTACAGTAAGTGATAGGTGGTTCCATGTGTGTTGCCAGGCAGTGACTCTGTATTTGTCCCTGCTCCCTAATGGGGTGGGGCGGGGGCGGGCAGGGCAGGGCACTGTCCTAGAGACAGCGCATTCCCGTAGGAGGACCTGGGTTGTACACTCTACCCTATTTGACAGATTGTGACAGACGGACATCCGGGACAGGCAGCAGAGGGTAAGGAAGGTTGAGAGCAGTTGAGCTAGCGCTGCAGATAGCCCAAGTGTCTTCGGGGTCCCCCGCCGGGACGGGGAGGTTCCTGCTTCATTGTCTCCCCTGAAGGAAAGCCTGGAGCAGAAGTGAACTAAAGGGGGCGGCCCGTCATCGTTCACTTGGGGTCCCAAGAGGAAGGGAAGGTGTTGGATCCGACCCAGAGCAGGCTGGGGAGGGCGGTCCACCAGTGCTGTGTGTCGCTGGTGAAGTGTCTGCCAGCCAGAAGCTGGGAGGTGCTCACACTCCCAGAGGTCCTTTCGGGTGCCGGCAGCTCACCCCAAAGAAGGGACATTGGCACTTTTCCTTTTGTTTTGGATCATTCCGCTAGGAATTTGGAAGTGTGTCCAAATTTTTTCAGTTTTTTAGTAAGAGATGAAAAGAGGTTAAAAAGAAGCAGCTACAAGAAATAAATAGAGCCGCTTAGATCAGGCCTATGAAGTGCTTGGGAGGTAATGAGGGAGCACTGATGGGTGGAGCTTCTCAATGGAGAGGGTGTCAGGTGGGGTACCGTCTAGTGAGCTCCCAGTCACAGGAATTAAGAGTGCTCATGGGGAATGAATATAAAAATCCCATGTTAATCTGACATGCCAAGAAATGTAAGCCAGGCGGTGGTGGAGCAGGCCTTTAATCCCAGCACCTGGGAGGCAGAGCTAGGCAGATCTCCGTGAGTTGGAGGCCAGCCTGGGCTACAGAGTGAGTTTCAGGAAAGGCGCAAAGCTACACAGAGAAACCCTGTTTTGAAAAACCCAAAAAAAGCAAAAAGAAAAAAAAAAAGAAAGAAAGAAATGTGAGTCACACCCATTCTTATGCCCCACTGAGAAGAAATACCACCATACATCACAGTTGTCTGTTATAATTATTTTTTAATACAAAGTCCATAGATATCAAAATAAGAACACCTATGGGGGTTGTATATTTGTATTTTATTTTATTTTTTAAGACAGAGTCTCCTGGTTTTCAGGCTGGCTGCCAGTTCACTGTGTAGCCACTGATAGCCTTGAACTCCTCCTTCCTGCCCCTGGAGTACTGGAGAGTGGTTCCAGGGTTGTTTTCTCCTCCAGTTATATGTGGTGCTGGAAAATAAACGCAGGGCTTCACATGTGCTAGTCAAGCACTGTATCCTCAGCCTGAAAAACTGTCTTAAGATCACCAAGTGCACCACATAAAAGAACTTGAAATTAATGGATTTCCTGAGACGGGTCTCCTTGTATACCCCCTGGCTGGCCACTTGCTCTGTAGACCAGACTGGCCTCGAACTCACAGAGATCCGCCTGCTTCTGCCTCCTGAGTGCTGGGATTAAAGGTGTATGCCACCATGCCTGGCTTATTTGGTTTTTTTAAGATGCCACACATAGGCTAGATCAGACAGGGGCTGGAGAACTGGTTCTGCCGTGAACAGCACTCACTGCTTGGGCAGAAGACCCGGGTTTGGTTCCCGGCACCTACGTGGCAGCTCACAGCCAAGTGTAACTGCTGTTCCAGAGGATTGGACTCCCTCTTCGGGCCTCCATGGGCACCAGGAACACATGTGATATACAATAATGGAAGAGAACACATACAAAATAAGAATTTAGACAGACAGACTCATCAGACATGAATAATGCCCCCTGAACACTTCCCTCTGCCTGGTTTTCTGTTGCTGGAAAGTCATTTCCGTTTCAGAGTAAACACAGAGTGGATGTCATCATAGGGTGGCAATTTTATTTCCTTTTAATGTGTTCAAAGAAGGGAGATTGATTCCAAGTCACATGGTGTGGTTGCGCTGAATTTCTTTAGGAACCTCCCTAATCTGCATAGAGAGGACAGTAGTCACTGTCACCAACAGTGGACAAGGGCCGCTTCTCTCCACACCCTCATCCACACGTGTCACCTTTGGACTTGATGTCTGTCCGTCCAAAGGTTATGAGATTGAGTTTTGTTTTCCTTGTTAATGACTTCTGAACACCTTTCATTGACGGCATTGTGGACATTGTTATGTCTTGGGAGAAACATGTGTTGGGTCCCCACCTACCCCCCCCCCCTTTGAAACAGTCAGCCCCCAAGTTCTGAGATTATATGTGTGTGCCACTGTGCCTGGCTCTTGCCTGTGTTATGTGGAGGGGGTGGGGGCGGGGAAGGGAGAGAGGGGGAGTCTCTCACTGGCTGGTAGCTCATATTTAGGCTAGGCTGGCCAGCCCGCCAGCCCAGGGACCCTTCTTCCGACACCTCACCCAGCCTTTTACATGGGAGCCAGGTCCTCATGCTTGTAAGGAAAACGTTTCCTTGACCCAGCTGCCTTCCTCTGGTAGGAATTTTATAGTTTCTGGCCTTACATTTAGGCCTCCTCCGTAGTTTTTAATATTTATAGTCTTAACATAAATTGGTGGTTGATTTTTGTATATAAGTTTTCAGTCTAATTTCTTTCTTTTACATGTAAAAATTGAGTTTCCTGGGCTGGAGAGAGAGCTCAGAGGTTAAGAACACTTGGCGCTCTGGCAGAGGACGCAGGTTCAGTTCCCAGCACCCACATGGGGCCGCTCACAACTGTCTGTGACTCCATTTCCAGGAGGGTCCAACACCCTCCTGACCTGCAGCCAGCACCCACACGGTGTCCAGACATTGCAGCACACACATGGCGCCCAGACATTGCAGCACACACATGTGCTTACTCACTCAGGTGCATACACATGCACAAAATAAAAATAAGCCTTTAAAAAATATGGAAGAAAATTCAGTTTTTCCCGGGATTAATATTGCCAGTATTTTTATAAAAGCCTCTACTTCTCCCAGATATGGTGGCCCACACCCTTAATACCAGCACTGGAGAAACAGAGGCAGATGGACCGCTTAGTTCAGGCCCAGCCTGATCTATATACCGAGGTCCAGGCCAGCCCAGGCTTCATTTATGTGAACAAAAGAAAAACCTACTTTCATCCTTTTTGAGACAAGGTCTTAGTACATAGCCCTCAAATTTCCGATTTTTCTGCCTTCCCCGCCTGAGTGCTAGGTTTATAGGCACAGGCCATTGCCCCTGCCGAAGTTCCGTCATTATGGTGTATTCTTCTAACTCTGGGCTCACATCAGCCATCCACTTCATCTTACAGACAAGGAAGCTGGGGTTTAGGAGATGGGAGAGCAGCTGTAGATGGGAGTTACGTAGTCCAGGCTTTCTGGCTGGGTGTCCAGTGTGTAACCCTCCAGCCTGGAGTGAGTTCTCACTGCCGGGGTAGTTAACGTTGTCTGATCACCCTGTGAGCCAGAGTTAGCCAAGGAGTTAGTGAACACTGGCATTACTTCTGGCAGAAATACAAAGCTTAGGCCTCTGAAGGCCTTTTGTACAATGCCGTCAACGAACAAGTGTGCGACCTCGTTTCTTCTGTGCTCTGGGTGTTGGCACTTGGGCACTACGGTGGAGGGCCATTTTAAAAAGGAATTCCCAAACAGAAATATAAGGAACATCCCTAAATAAACCACGACAGGGACACTTGCTTCCAGCATAAGAACTGAAACAAGACTGTCACAGCTGGGACATTTGTCAGGCGACTCGGATTCCAAACGTCTCTGCAAACGGCTGGTGAAAGTTCCAGTTTGGGGAGTTCCAAGCATACCTTTAGCAAGCAACTCTGCAGACCTGCGAATACAGAATCCAAGAAGGAGTCGTGACTCACTGAGCTGCAGGCGCAGGGCTAACCCCACTAGTTCCCTGGGTCATTAAACAGGTAACCAGTACTACCAGGTAGGGGTGAAGGGACTGTGAGCACACGAAAGCCCCCCAAGAGTAGCTGCAGCCGTAGACCGGTGCTGCTTGAAGGCTGTGATCCTGACCGTCATTTGCCTGTGCTGGGCCTCAGTGGCCCTTCTCGAAGGCAAAATGAACAAAATTACAGGAATAAGGAGTGTTTGACTCAGTAAGTCTTCTCATGAACACAGCATCACCTCTAAGAACAATTGTTCCTGAGGCCGGAGACATGGCTCAGCAGTTAAGAACACTTGTTTCGCCGGGCGGTGGTGGCACACGCCTTTAATCCCAGTACTCAGGAGGCAGAGGCAGGCAGATCTCTGTGAGTTCGAGGCCAGCCTGGGCTACAGAGCGAGATCCAGGAAAGGTGCG